GATCCTTTGCACATTTTTAAGTTGGAATTTATTTATTTATTTTCAGAGAGAGATTTTTGCCATAGGGCACCTGTGCTTGCCCGAGAAATAGAGAGACAGAAAGCAAGAAATCACTTCCCAGGGGGAATGGCCACTCCACAATCCCTTCTCCTCCAATCTCTTCTCAGGATTTTGGGCACTCATGCAAACGCACCCAGCGTGAGTTTTTAAGCTGCCAGGTCAACTGCAGTTGACCACGTGGGAGCCCAGCGACGTAACCATTTTATGATCTGCTGGTCCCAAGTTGAATGATCTTTCCGTTACTTAGTTGTAAGACATCTGTATACACTCTAGATGCGTCTCTTATCAAATCTTATTGACAAATATTTTCTTATAATCTGTAGGCTCTTTTCACCGTTTAAAAATTGATTTTCGATATAAGAGAGAGAGAGACAGAGAGAGACGGAGAGACAGCAGCCTCAACAGGGTCTTGTTACAGTGGCCTGCCCCAGCTTCAGCCAGCCCCAGGTCCCAGGGACATGCGTGCCCAGTGCTGGGGGGAGGTCCAGAGCCCTCCCGTGTGGGTCAGGCTGCACAGCATCGCATTCGCCACCGCACCAGATCTGGCCCCACCTGTTCATCTTCATGGCGTGCCTTTTGAAGCACGGAAGTTTTAGTTTTGATGAAGCCACTACTACTAATCGGTACTGCACAGCTGCCGTGTCCAGGTGTTTCTTCAGGAGCAGCCAGAGGAGTCCTTTGTACTTCTAAGTGTAAAGTACCTCATGCCAGCTCTTTGCTTGTAGGAAAAACACACAAAGATTGCGAGGCCCTGCAGACCTGGGCCAGCCCGCTTACCGAGCGCCGTCCCACAGCCTCTCCCTCCCATGCACACAACCCTCCACCTGCCCAGACGGTCTTTCTCTTATGTTTACCGAATTCCTGCTTCAGGGACTTTCACTTGCTGTGCCTTTGTAGTACTCGCCACTCTGAGAGTCACTCAGCGGTTCTTTCTCTACATTAGACTCGGCTCAAGTGCCACTTCCTCCATGAAGCCTTTCCTGATTGCCCTCTCTAATGTAGTCACTCCTCACTCCACTCCACATATTCCTTAGGACATGGCCTTGTTTCATTTTCTTTAGTAAGACTTACATGGAAGTATTTTATGTATTTACTTACTATCTGCCTTCTCTTCCTAGAAGATGCTTTTTTTAAAGAAACATTTACTTACTCTTTAAAATTATTACTATTATTTTTAATTTGCTATAGGGCACATGAGCTCACCAGAGAGAGAGAGAGAGGGAAAGTGAGAAAGCAAGCCACCAGGTCCAGGACTCAAATCGCAGTTGGCCATGTGGGAGTCCAGTGCCTCTAACACCACACCACCTGCTGGCCCTGGAAGATAGACTGAAGTTTTCTGATACCACTGTCCTTCTCTGGCTTGTTCACTGCTACATCCCAGCTTGAGCAAGTGCTTGGCATACACTAGGTGTTCAGTGAACGCTAGTTGAATTAATGAGCATGTACCGCAGTAGCAGCTACACAGAATACACTGTAACAGCGCTTGGGAAGGAAGGAAAGCTGCTTAAATGTCTTCACAGCTGCCGTGTCCAGGTGTTTCTTCAGGAGCAGCCAGAGGAGTCCTTTGTACTTCTAAGTGTAAAGTACCTCATGCCAGCTCTTTGCTTGTAGGAAAAACACACAAAGATTGCGAGGCCCTGCAGACCTGGGCCAGCCCGCTTACCGAGCGCCGTCCCACAGCCTCTCCCTCCCATGCACACAACCCTCCACCTGCCCAGACGGTCTTTCTCTTATGTTTACCGAATTCCTGCTTCAGGGACTTTCACTTGCTGTGCCTTTGTAGTACTCGCCACTCTGAGAGTCACTCAGCGGTTCTTTCTCTACATTAGACTCGGCTCAAGTGCCACTTCCTCCATGAAGCCTTTCCTGATTGCCCTCTCTAATGTAGTCACTCCTCACTCCACTCCACATATTCCTTAGGACATGGCCTTGTTTCATTTTCTTTAGTAAGACTTACATGGAAGTATTTTATGTATTTACTTACTATCTGCCTTCTCTTCCTAGAAGATGCTTTTTTTAAAGAAACATTTACTTACTCTTTAAAATTATTACTATTATTTTTAATTTGCTATAGGGCACATGAGCTCACCAGAGAGAGAGAGAGAGGGAAAGTGAGAAAGCAAGCCACCAGGTCCAGGACTCAAATCGCAGTTGGCCATGTGGGAGTCCAGTGCCTCTAACACCACACCACCTGCTGGCCCTGGAAGATAGACTGAAGTTTTCTGATACCACTGTCCTTCTCTGGCTTGTTCACTGCTACATCCCAGCTTGAGCAAGTGCTTGGCATACACTAGGTGTTCAGTGAACGCTAGTTGAATTAATGAGCATGTACCGCAGTAGCAGCTACACAGAATACACTGTAACAGCGCTTGGGAAGGAAGGAAAGCTGCTTAAATGTCTTGGAAAGAGCCTTCCCCTGTGGGTTTCGTTGGGTCCCATCAGCAGTCTAGTTGACATTCTCTGGAACAGGGCTTCAGGCAGGACGGAAAGCCAAGCCTCACTTGGGGTGTATCCTCCACGTACACTACGGAAGCGCTTCTCAAATTGTAAAGTGCAAGCCAGCTTCCCAGGGTGCTGTGCAGACTCGGATTCGGGCGTTCCAAAGCCCTGAGTGGCTCCCAGCTCCCCGGTGGTGCTGACGCTGCTGGCCTGGGACCACACTGAGCAGCAAGGGTGGAGGCCACACGCCACAGTGCACGTCCTCACCAGCTGCAGATGGAGACCCAGCCCAGTGGCCATGGTCCCTACCAGCCAGCCCTCGACTTCCCTCCTCACAAGTCCAGAGACATCGAGTGGGCAGGGAAGACGCATCACTGGGGCCGGGGACCGCCGTGCCTTAGCATAGCTCAGCCATGGCTGTTCCCCGCGTGGATTAATCTGCCCGCCCTCCTTGCCTGTGCTGCCATGCCACTTGGCTCTGCTGGCACTTGAACAGCACCTACTGTGCGCTGCCCTGTGCTGGAGCTAGAGGGAGAGAAGTAAAGATGGCGGCGTGGTGGTGAAGGCACTGCTTCTGACAGTGCGGCCAACCAACCTCGGGGACCTTAGGGCTCGCTTTCTCACGCCCCCTCCCTCCCTCTCCCTCTGCCTCTCTCTGGTGAGTGCAAATGAAAAAAGAATGATTAATAAAATCAAATCGTTCTTTAAAAGAAAGAGACAGAAAATGCCTCCCCTGCTCCCAGGAGCCTACTCTAGTGAGTAGGTGAGATGGAACAAAGCCCCGGTCACGGTGCCACGTGAGCGTCTCTGTAACGCAAGCTCCTTGCGCTTTGGGGGAACCGAAGATTTCACTTCCAGGGTGAGGTTGGGACTTAGCTCAGTGAGAGAGCTCCCACGTCCCGCCTCATTATGTATCTGGCTAAGGGTGGCGTGTCACAGGGAGGGAGGGGGTGATTTCTCACTTCCCCTCTCTCTGTCTCTGTCTCTTTCTCTCTAGTGGGTGCAAGGGCCCTATGGGAAAAAAAATCTCAAAAAAGTAAAAAAAAAATGTAAACAGGAGAGATGGAGGAGGGGACTTCAGTTTGACCTGAAAGGCGACCAGAAGTTTGCCAGCTGGAAAGGGGAAGCGTGCCCTAGGCAGGGGCAGGTGTCAGGGCTCACGATGCTACACAGGGGAGGCGTCCAGCTGCATGAGACAAAGCCTTTTATCTGGGGCCAGCAGGCAGGGTGGTAGTTGAGGTGTTGGACTCCCGCGTGGCTGACTGCGGTTTGAATCCTGGACTCGGCAGCTTGAAAATCACACCGGGCATATGTGCATGTGTTCCCCAAATCCAGAGAAGAGAATTATGGAGAAGGGACTGTGGCGTGTCCATCCCCCTACATTAAAAATAAAAAAGTCCTTGAGGAGGCAGATCAAGGCAAGGAGACAGCATCCACTCAGTGCAAAAGGGTGGGGAAGTGGGGTGCTTGTGGGTCAGGTTGGGACTGGCCAACTTTTCTAAACAGGACCAGAGACCATGATGATGAAAGAACAAGATATGTCAGACCCACCGACCACCCAGAGGGACTGAGGGAGACGCGGTCACCATCATCGGAAAGCAATCTACAAGACTCTCACCTGAAAGGAGAACACGTGGGTAGCAGGTGGTCACCAGCCACGGAGAGTTACTCTAAACTACTCGAGATTTAAGAATATTGCCATTGATTGTTTGAGGGTTTGTCAAAGTATTATTTTCATTTTACTAATAAATACTGAAAATGTCCAAATAAAAATACTCCAAGTTCTGGAAAAATGAAAATAAAAAGGACCAGAGAATACTGAAAATATTTTAGGTGCGTGGGCCACTCAGGGTCTGTTGCAAACACTCGCTCTGCCCCAGGGTAACAGGTAGATGAACGGTAAAACGTTATGACCAAACTTGATTTCCACACAGTTTTCACAAGTCAAGGAGCATTATTCTTCTTTTCATTTTTATTCAGCCATTGAAAAATGTCAAAACCATTCTCAGCTCAAGGGCAGCACAAGAACCGGCTGTGTGTGGCGTTGGCTCCCGGGCCAGAGCGCGGCTGAGGGGGTGACGGGAAGCTGGGGACAAGGCTGGAGCAGACTGCGGCAGGGGTTAAACACCTGTGGCTACCCTGGGGCGTTCCCAGCCCAGGGAGGACACATCAGGGGAGGCATCTGAGAGCGGCCCTAGAATCCAAGAATGGACCTAAATCAAAGGGGAAGGGTTATCCAAGAGTGAATTCCTGCCAGCACTCTGTGGACGCCTTAGCGAAACCTATTTACATACAGAGTGCTAATTAAACCTTTTTTTTCCTGTTCATGAAAATAAACCACACCCTCTGTAGGCATTTGTTTGTGTTGTTCTAAGTGCTTGAAAATAACAAATGGCGTTTTCTTAATTACCCTAAGACAAATAATTCCTATTAGCACAAGTGCCTTTGCTCAGGCAGTCTAATTTACTGCGGTTTCGCCCTGTCCGTGTTTAATTCATAAGCACGACTTGCAGTCAGAAGGTCCCACGCCCTGCCTCTTGGCAGGAGAGACACGATTACGCTGAGATGTGGGCAGGTCAATGTTTAACAACCTGCTCTCTGGAAAAACCTTATACGTGCGCCTGTGCAAAACGCTGAACTTTTACTGATTTAAAGGGGGTGTGGCACACAATTCAGAAGTACTCACAAGTGACACTCCTCTCCGCTGCAAAGGCCATGGGGCTCATTGATTCTCACAGAACGCCTTCACTGATGTTTGCAGAAAACTCGTGTCCACGCCAGAGTCGTGTCTGCCGCTCAACCACAATTTGACAAAATCAGACTAGGAGTAGACTCGATTCGCACCCAGCTCACGTCTGAGAAGCTGCTCCTATCCTCGGCACGTGAGCGCGGTTCCGACAGCGACAGCGATGGCAGCTGATATGTCTATGTTAATGAGTAAGACAAGGTGAAACACTGAAGACATACGCTAGAACTCCCTTCAGCGACAATGGTGTGAGTGACCTCTTTGCTGAGTCACACAGTAGTTTGCACATAGTGAAAGTGTTCCCGCAAAAATTTCCACTATTCATGAAGAAGCCAGCAGGTGGTATGGTAGTTAAGGTGTTGAACTCCCACTTGGCCAACCATGGAGTGAGTCCCTGCTCTGTTGTCTTGAAAAGCATGCCGGGTATGTGTGCGTATGTGCCAAAAATCCTGAGAGGAGACTGGAGGACCAGGGGTTGTCACCATACCGACTTGGGGGTTGAGTTCTCGTTTTCCCTCTCTCTGTCTCTTTCCAGCGTGTGCATGCACCCTATGGCAAAAACCTAAAACAACAAAAACCAATAAACTCACTATTCACAAGGTAATGGCTGAAGACATAAACAGTTTACAATTTAATCTGCATTATTAACATTTCCTCTAGCACTTACTTGATTAAGTTTAGATGATCCACACAATAAATCAAGCCATGATATTTAGCATTTGCCAATTTCCTTGGTGTAAATACTCCTACACTAGCAATGTCCAGTTATCAGGACACAGAGTTGGGAAGATCTTTGCAGTAGCCCATCATTATACAGTATTTCTACCATCCAGATGCAAGAAACAACCCACCGGGACCAGCAGGTGGCACAATGGCTATGTCACTGGTCTCCAACGTAGTCAACTGCAGTTCGAGTCCCAGATCTGGTGGCTTAAAACTCATGCCAGGTGTATGTACATGCATGCCCAAAATCCTAGAGTAAAATGGAGGAGGAGGGATTGCAGCCTGGCCATCTCCCCTGGGGAGTGAGTTCTTGCTTTCTATTTCTCTCTGTCTCTCCAGCAAGCACACGCACCCTATAGCAAAAAAATCTCTCTCCAAAAATAAATAAAATAAAATAAAATAAAATAAAAAAACGAGAAACAACCTGCAATATTTCTGAGAATTTAACAGTAAGCTTTCTGGAGGTAGCACCAACTGGCTGCTGCCTATGACTGGTTGGACCTCATTTATCTAGAACCATCTATTGCAGCTCAGCAATGAGTGTCACCTATAGAAACTGCTTTGTTAAAAAAAATGAAGAGATCTCCAGTATCTTTCTATAAAGTTAGTAAATCTGTTTGTCATCTAAACCTACCATCTTAACTTAATGACCACCTTTTCGGGAACCAGCAGTTAGCGTAATGGCTATGTCACTGGACTCCCACGTAGTCGACCGCGGTTCGTGTCCCGGACCCGGTGGCTTCAAACTCACGCCGGGCGCGTGTGCGTGCGTGCCCAAGATCCCGAGAGGAGAATGGAGGAGAAGGGATTGCGGTGTGACCATCCCCCCTGGGGGTGATTTCTCGCTTTCTGTCTCTATGTCTCTCTCTGTCTGTCTGGTGAGCGCACGTGCCCTACAGTGAAAATCTCTCCAAAAAAAAAAACAAAAAATGACCACCTTTTCAAAAATTAGCCTTATGGGGCCTTCCAGGTGGTGTAGTGGTTAAGGCAGCTGGATCCCACGTGGTCGAACATGCAGTTCGAGCCCTGCACATGGCGGTTTGAAAACACACCTGGCGCACATGTGTGTGTCCAAAATCCTGAGAGGAGAATGGAGAGGGGACTGTGGTATGCTCATCCCCGCTGGTGGGCGCATTCTCATTTCTCTCTCTCTCTGGTAAGTGCACGAGTCCTATAGCAAAAACCAATCAACCAACCAACACTAAATGTCACCTAAAACATGCTCATTCTCATATGTCGAGGACCGATGATTAGATTGTCAACATTTTCACTCTTACGTCTAAACTAACACAGACCGTGGGTGATGAGCTCATGACCACCAGAGCAGGAAGAGCCCGGGGCTTCGGCTAATCTAAGCTTCTCTCATTGTATTAGAAGTTCAAGGAAGTTAACTGAGCACGCAGGAGTCAAAACCACATTCTTACGGGTAACAGAGTCCCCGAGTGCTAAGTCTCGGTGTGCGATGGTCAGATAACTTCGGTAAACGTACTCACCCTCTCCTGACTATGTAAGGAAACGGATCTCTTAAACAACACCATTTTGGGGAAAAGTGTTTTAAGCTGTGGGAAAGAAACTTTTGTTTATGCTTATGTATACACATCTCTTTGGTGTTTTGTTTTCTGTTTTATGACACTGCTTACTGTATTTCTTATAAGCTACAGGTTTGTCCTTTTCAAGAGTAACCATTTACAAGTAAACAGCAAATGAGCCAGGCAAATCTTCGGTTCAACTAGTCAGCTGGCCCGTGCACTGCAGAGCGAAGGATGCGTTTTACACCCCGATGTGAGAGCGAAAACTCTTGGGTTCTTATGAGCTACTGCAGGCAGAACATTCCTTGGAAGGTGGGCGTGGGCCAAGTCGGTGGGCTGCTGACAGTGTCTTCTCTCCAAATGATGTCTTTAATCCCACGTTTTGTCTCTTTTTCTCCCCCTCCCCACTTCTCTCCTTCCTTCTTGTCTGTCTTTTCTTACAGGCCTACAGTCTCTTATATGAAACCCTCAGGGCCAGGAATGTGTGGCTTCAGAATTTTTCAGATTTTAGAAAGGTAAGTCATAAAGCATCCCCAGTGGGGTTGGGGGCAGTACTCTAGAATCAAGCAGGTTTATATTTTGTGGCAAAATACAAATATTCACATAAACTGGGGGAAACAAGAGTACGTATAGAATCATGCTTGTCCATTGGTCAATTCTATCACTAAAGTGACTTGAAAAAAGTCAGACCTAGGGACCAGCAGTTGGTGTAATGGCTATGTCACTGAACTCCCATGTAGCCGACCTAAGTTCGAGTCCCAGACCTTGTGGCTTGGACTCATGCCGGGCGTATGTACGTGCATGGTCAAGATCCCAAGAAGAGAATGGAGGAGAAGGGATTGCAGTGTGACCATCCCTCCTGGGGGGTGATTTCTCGCTTTCTGCCTCTCTGTCTCTGTCTTTCTGGTGAGTACACATGCCTTATAGCAAAAACAAACAAACAAACAAAAAACAAACAAAAAAAAACTCTCCAAAAATAAAAAAAAGTCAGACCTGATATTCTTCAACATCAAAGATGAACAAAAAGGGGACCAGCAGATGGCATAATGGTTACGTCATTGGACTCCCACATAGTCTACCACGGTTCAAGTCCTGGACCCAGTGGCTTAAACTCACGCCGAGTGCATGTGCATGTGTGCCCAAAATTCTGAGAGGAGAATGGAAGAGAAAGAATTGCAGCATGCCCATCTCCCTGAGGGGTGATTTCTCACTTTCTATCTCTGTTTCTCTAGTGAATGCACGCACCTTATAGCAAAAATCTCTCTTAAAAAAAAAAAAAGTGAACAAAAAGACCATAGCCGGAAAACTAGGAAGGGACGGAATGTACCTGGAGTACTGTGTTAGTACGACACACACAGGACTCGAACAGGAGAAAGGTTAAATAGAGGAAACCTTTGAAGACACAGAGGTGTGAAAAGGGAAGACAGAGCAGACATCTATCCATACGTATTAAAATTGTACCTTACCGCCTAGTGCAAGGATGAAAGCTGTCCACTAACAGAAAGCTATTTCAGAAAGCTAAAGGGCACACGCAGTGCTCCTAAAATACCAAAGACCGTACATAATGTCTGACCCACACTGCCACCGCACACGCCAACTCTTCCAGGGATGCTTCGAAAAGGCTGTGACTGGTCCACTGTCCCCCGTGTCAGGAGCCTGCTCTGTCTGACACACTGAATTCCCAATGTCTCTCACACTTCCTCCTTTCCAGATGCACAATAGGTTTTTGTAAAGTTTCTCTTGGTTTTATGGCTGGCAGCTACAGAAACCATGCCACATGCCTGGTAGAGTTATAGGGTGTGATTTCACTTGACCAGCGTCTTCAGAGCTTCTGGATCCTTAACTGAGAATGTCCTTCGGGGCTGTAAATGAGAGTCTGTACTGACAGACTGTGCGCCTGGCCGGCTGGTGCTGCACGGTCCCTCTCCCTCGGAAGCCATCAGGGAAGAGCGCCATCTCCTTGGAAGCTCCCGGGTTCCCTCCACCTCCTACGGAAACATTTCCGCACGGATCTCCCGAGAGCGGGCCTGCCTCCTACTCTAAAGCTATTTACAACTCACCCGAGTTCCTCCAATTGTCCGAGCTTGGGAAACTGGCTGGTTTACTAAGGGACCTCATAGGCACTCTGAATCCCTCTGACTTCCGAGTAAAGGGCCATGGGTTTGACTCCCCATTCGGCCATTTACCTGGCGCCTCAGGCAATTTATAGAACTAAACCCGTCTCTATCTACCCCCGAAGGTGGTGAGGACTAAATGAGTGCATGTGAAGCACACGACACTCGCTGTGAGCCACTTCTTATAGCAAAAATCTCTCTTAAAAAAAAAAAAAAGTGAACAAAAAGACCATAGCCGGAAAACTAGGAAGGGACGGAATGTACCTGGAGTACTGTGTTAGTACGACACACACAGGACTCGAACAGGAGAAAGGTTAAATAGAGGAAACCTTTGAAGACACAGAGGTGTGAAAAGGGAAGACAGAGCAGACATCTATCCATACGTATTAAAATTGTACCTTACCGCCTAGTGCAAGGATGAAAGCTGTCCACTAACAGAAAGCTATTTCAGAAAGCTAAAGGGCACACGCAGTGCTCCTAAAATACCAAAGACCGTACATAATGTCTGACCCACACTGCCACCGCACACGCCAACTCTTCCAGGGATGCTTCGAAAAGGCTGTGACTGGTCCACTGTCCCCCGTGTCAGGAGCCTGCTCTGTCTGACACACTGAATTCCCAATGTCTCTCACACTTCCTCCTTTCCAGATGCACAATAGGTTTTTGTAAAGTTTCTCTTGGTTTTATGGCTGGCAGCTACAGAAACCATGCCACATGCCTGGTAGAGTTATAGGGTGTGATTTCACTTGACCAGCGTCTTCAGAGCTTCTGGATCCTTAACTGAGAATGTCCTTCGGGGCTGTAAATGAGAGTCTGTACTGACAGACTGTGCGCCTGGCCGGCTGGTGCTGCACGGTCCCTCTCCCTCGGAAGCCATCAGGGAAGAGCGCCATCTCCTTGGAAGCTCCCGGGTTCCCTCCACCTCCTACGGAAACATTTCCGCACGGATCTCCCGAGAGCGGGCCTGCCTCCTACTCTAAAGCTATTTACAACTCACCCGAGTTCCTCCAATTGTCCGAGCTTGGGAAACTGGCTGGTTTACTAAGGGACCTCATAGGCACTCTGAATCCCTCTGACTTCCGAGTAAAGGGCCATGGGTTTGACTCCCCATTCGGCCATTTACCTGGCGCCTCAGGCAATTTATAGAACTAAACCCGTCTCTATCTACCCCCGAAGGTGGTGAGGACTAAATGAGTGCATGTGAAGCACACGACACTCGCTGTGAGCCACTTCTTGCTACTGTGACTGTCAGTGGCTAGTCCTGGCGCGGCACAGGCTCTGTCCCGGCTCTGCCCGGGCCCGGCGTCCTCCTGCAGGGGGCGAGCTCCGCATACTGTCCTCTCGCTGGACCGGCCTCCGCAGAGGTTTGGGTGGGGAACCCAGAAGGGCTCGGCGTCAGGGGTGGGCTCCAGATCTGGCCGGCGAGTGGCCGAGCGCACCCTGCACGCTCCCTCCTACCCAGGCCCGCAGGCCCTGCC